CTGCTTTGGGAGACAATTGCTAGCCCCAGACGATATAATGTTGTGGTTTCTCAAGGGTATAGCTTCAATGAGTTATCTCATTAAATATGAAAATATAGCTTTAAATTTTAGTTTATTGGCACATGGTTCTTACTATGAGTTTTGACGTTACAAATATGGCAGCAAAAGACAGCAGGTGTAAATCTCTGCCTGCCCGTCCTCCCTCTTCTCTTCAGACATTCAGGAAAGTAGCTAGTCAAGTTGTTTGGGTTTTTTTGCCAGAACAACTAATCTGAACCTGTTGTCTTTGTGGAACACAGGCACATTCACAGTGTCAGCCTTCTGCTATCCCATGCTAAATGTAAATATTCGCATGCATGCTTTTACCTGGATTTGGGTGTAAGCAGCTTCTTAGGGCTCTGCATCCCTGAAAGCTAATGCAAAGCAGCCATACTGCACTTTTGTCTGACTTCCACTTAGTGTTGTTAATGTAGACCTCCCACATGCTCTCCCTTGACTCAGAAAAGAGCTGATAAAAATATTGATGGCTTGGTTTCTTAAAGCTGCCTCTCTGTATCAAAATTGTTTGTGGTGGTAGCAACAAGAAGGAAAAAAAAAGTGAGTTAAAGAAGAAATAGGCAAAGGGTTTCTGCAGGGTAAAAGAAGGGGTTTCTTGAAAGCCATCATCTTTAGCACTGGTTCTGACAGCATCTGCTTGCTGTCAAGCAAAATACCCTCTGAAACACACAGCTTCATCAGGTTAATTTCCCAGTATCTGCAGTAATAGCTCCAGTGTATCTTTTCTAAAATGACTGACTCTGTTGGATTAGTATTTCTCTCAAAGCATGAAACAATGCATTCTTTTGACCGAACTACAAAAGTTTGCCCCACTAAGCTCTTGCTCTTTGAGAGTTCTCTGGGTATTCCACAAGCTTCTACTATAACACCTGACTGACTGGGACTGGCAAAGCCATTGCACTGTTCAGCTAGGGAGAAACCAAGGAAAACCTCCATCCCCTTCCTAATTCTGGAGCCACTATAGAAAGTCCTTGTCTGCCTACTGGGTTGAATTTTGCTTTAGCAAGAACAAAGTCCCTAGTGCTGGATCCTGGGGAGCTGTAAAATATAACAGCTGAATGTGGTTCTTGACGCATGTCTCAACAACTAGCATGTGTCATCTCCCGGGCATGCCTGCTCTGAAACGTCAGTAACGGATTGTGGTTTGTGCTCTTTCGCCCCACAGGCAACGTGAGATGGAAACTGTCAAACAGCTACAGGAAGAAACTGCGGGTCAGGCAGAAGCCGTTGGTTTAGAGCTGCAAAAAGCTATAAAACAGCTTGAGGATGCCAGCAAACAGGTAAGGGACAGTCTAGTTCCTTCTATGCAGAAAACGAGCCAATGTGTGCAAAATGCTACATACAATGCATCGCTGTGCTTGGGAAAGGAAATCGCATGTTCGGAATGGAGTGCCTCATTGCAAAAGTGGAACCAGCAGAGGAAGTAAAATTTGAGGGGGTGGTGACAACAGTTTGCTGATGAAAGAGGCAGCGTTGCATATTTGTGGTGGCTTAAAAAAAAAAAAAGAAAAGAGAAAAAAAACCCAAAAATAGCTTCCATACACAGTCCACCCCAATGTAAAAATGCAGAAGTTCAGAGGGAGCTTTATCACTTCCTGAGAAAGAACAGATGCATTTTGATTTCATTTACATGAACTGTAGAGGCTTCTCGTGTTAGCCAGGCTGCTTTATTTTCTTTCCTCCTTTCTTTTTTCTTAAACATTGTTTTGTGCTTAGGCAGAGGATCATGTTGAAGCCTTTCACTCTGCCTGTGAGGAAGCTGCATCCTTGAAACGCAAGTTAGAGGAAGCCATTTCTGAGCAGCAAAAACTCAAGGATGTGAATGCAGCTTTAAGAAGCACTTGCCAGTTGCTTCAAGAAAAGGTGGAAGACCAGAAAAGTGAGTAACTACTGGCAGTATGCCAGCATTCCCTCTTGCAGGGGCAAATCCTTTATGGCAAGGGGAAACAGGGTTGATCTGGAGGTCATCTGATAAAATGC